ACGCTACGCTACGCTACGCTACACTACATACATACATACATACATACCTACCTACGATTACCTACGCACGTACATACATACATATACATACATACATACATGCCTACCTACATACTGACATACATACCGACATACGTATTCATACATCGCTTAACTTATGTAGTTGTCTAGAAAGAGAGGCCATCACAAAGGGTACTAAACTATTCACAGATTCCATACACTTCATACTTTATCACTGCCACCGGTTGTAGTTTGCAGTTGGCCAGGCACTGTTGGTGATTCGGTGTCTCAGGGGCTACAAACCCAAGTCCAAGGCACAACCCTCCCGTTGCGAGCTTGAAGACGTTCAGTCCGTTCAGTCGTAAACGCAACCCACCGGAGCCCCAGCGGGCCGCCTGCCAGGGCTGACAAACGATCTGCCCCGCAGGCAGGTCAAGGCCAAGGCCGCCAAGGCCAAGGCCACTGCAACATGGCCAGAGCCGCCTAAAGGTTCGAAATGCTCCGTGCTTTCGGGGTTCAGGCGGTTCAGGAGGCAGGGCCTGCCGTCGCTGACCCTTGCGACTCATCGCGATACACCGTCCCCAACTTAATCATCGCAAGCGGGGACTTCGAGCCTTCAGAGTTCAGGAGGGCTTTTCCTTGAAATCGAGAGCCGGCAAGCCTTTTAGCTTTCCATCGCTTCCTGCTCGGAATTGCGAGCAGTCTTGCAGAGTGTCAGGAGCTCTTCAAAATGTGGCTCCATCCGGCTAAGCCTGGATTGCACTTCAGTTCCTGGGCAGGTCTTTGATCTTTGATGGTGAGATTTATGTTTAATTTTATCATGCAGGCTTCAATCCAAGTACAATTGCTGCTAGACATCGGCCAAGCTTCTCCTAATCGACTGGATGGTGCGCGTCAGCTCGTTGACATGGCTGAGCAATATCTCTGGCCGAGACTTTGCAGCCACAGAAAAACCAGCCCATGCCTCAACATCCACCTCGTCCTCGCCGGTCGTCATGGTTTGCAGCCAGCATTTGATGATCGATTCCAGATTCCGAGCCACCTCAGGGACGCGGGCCGCGATGAGAGACCAGGCAGCACAGGCCATACGTCTCTGATCTCGGAGAAAGGACTCCTCCGATTTCGCGAGATGCTGGAGAGCTGCGCCCAGGTTGCAGGAGTCTTCGACAGGGAGATCAATCTCGGCAAAGAGACGATTCCAACAGATTGTCACCCAAATGGCATTGTTGCAAACCTTGCGACTCTGCGAAAACATGCTCTGATACACGGCATAGTCAAAACAATTCAAGCATCAGCAACAAACAGCCTTACTAAAACGTGCCTTAGAACCGACTTCTGGCTTTCCTTCCGTATGCCGGGGACCAGTAGCTTTGGCAGTCTCAGCCGAACACTTCGCAGGTGGGCATCCAGCACTTCCTGAAGATGTCCAGCTTGCAGAGCGGGGCAAGACTCAAGCTGATGCTTGGTGGCACTCCGAAAGGGCTGATGAGTTTAGCATAGCTTCAGCTGAACAAATTAGTTATGATAAGCAAGACACACTTGCTTCAGCTTCACATTACCCGCCCCCACCCAGACCCCCGGACCCCGGCCAAAACACACCGCAGCCCCGGACACTGTAAACTCAAGGAGGATCCTGCTCAGACTTGCAGAGGGTGCCCAGCAAGCAATAGGTGCTTTGAAGCACCTCCTTCAGCATCTTGTGCTCTTCCTCCAAGCATTCTACCTTGGGACTTTGAATCCAAAGCATCCAAAGCATACCTTCCAAGACCGTGAAGCCGTCCAGGGAAGTGCGCACAAAAGCCGGGAACAGCAAGATCGACGGGAAATATCTTGTTGTTCCACTCCACTCTATCGGTATGCCGAAGCCCTTCACATGAGAACGCTCTGAACCGTACACGCAGAAACTCCGATCCGAGATCGGTGCAAAAAAGCTGCAGCGAGAGCTACGATATCCTTCCAGGGCATGCTGGCTTCGTTGCAGAGGATATCGCCCATTGCCTCCATTCAAAGACGCTCGCAAAGTCTTCGCAATCATCTATGTCCCAACTGAGGGTAGCAGGAGGAATAATGGTAGTGTTACTACTAGTCATAATGCTGTAGCTGCGGTCGTGATAGTGGTGGTCGCTGCAGTTGTTGCAGCTTGTAGTTGTAGTCGCATGGTGCGGTAGTGGTCGTGAAATTGGGAGTGGTAGTGAGGTAGTGGTAGCAGTAGTAGTCGCAAATTGTCGTAATCTCGTGGTGTGTGCATACAGGTGGCATGATGCTGCACCTGGGCCGCAATTAAACCTAAATACCCTTCGGGCCAGTCCCTCGACACCTTCTGAACACTCCTGACAGAGTGTCCCCGGAGAAATAAATACTATCGACTAACAATGTGCAATGGCATTTGGCGCCCCCAGACCCTGAAACAAGCCGAGCCTGTGGCCCTGACCCGAATCCCAAACAAAATCAAAATCATGCTGCCTCAACTACGCGCTCGAGAAAATCCAGGGCGGCGTTCACGCCTTCATGTGCTGGGACGACAATCCTTTGTGTCCGGCCAAAGGAAATGAAAGCCGAGGTGACGTGTCACAGTGTCGTTTCAATAAACAGCTCTCAGGTTTGCTTTCTCCGAAGAGTCTGCTACAGGCAGCAACTGCAAAGATCGTGAATAAAACTTGAACAGATAATTCAACGCACTCAACTTTCACATCGATCCTCCAAGCCTCCAAGTCCAAATCTTCAGGACGCAAACCCCTGATCCCTGAGCTGCTCATTCCGGCCGAGTAGCGCCGTCAGGATCAACTCTTTCTGAGCACCCGGAGCACAGAAGTCTGAGAGCGGCAGCTGCTCTGGCAGGAGCTGGTCTGCCACAACCAACCTCTTTCTTGGTCGATACTCGAATCAGTGTTGATTGACTTATCTACCGTTCTTGCAAAAGATCTGTATATCTATATCCATATCTATGACCCTGTGCCCATATGTTTCTGTGTACCTATGCATCTATGCATCTATATCTGCCGACATATATATATATATGAAAATACATAAATAAATAAATAAATATAAATAAATAAATATAAAAAAATAAATAAATAAATATATATATATATATGCGTGTGCACACACACACACACCCAAGTACCTAAGAAGCACAGTTCTCGCTACAGTGCTCAAAAGCTTCGACAGTGATATGTTGCGCGACTCGGCAGCTCCCTAACTTGCGAAACCGTAGAATCCCTGGATCCTCTTGCGCGTGCGATTTCGAACCAAGTCTCTTGCAGTGCCTGCCGTTGAGGCTCCTCAGGTACTTCGCAAGCTCTGAATCCAAGGCCTGCATCGTAAACAGACGCAAAACTCCCAAATCTCCTTCGTCACACATGACCAATTCCGAGCCCGCTGTCTGCTTCAACCCAATCAGGTCGGTTGACACAGAGGAATTCAAACTGGCCAAGTAAGGAGCAGGGCTCTGCAAGCCAGTCTGCTGAAGGCCGTGCGATCAGGGTCAGACGGCTTTTTACCCTACAGCCGTCTTCTCAGAGAAGGTGCCAGATATGTCGAGCAAAATCGAAGCAAAACTGGTGAACTATATGTTAATCCCAAAGAGGAACTACTAAGGAGCCTATGGGTATAGTGCCGGCTGAGGAGCCGCGACGCCATGTCTCGTAGTTCAGCGCCGCGGAGATCCCCATCCAGGCGCCCAGAGAGGAGCGTGGCGCCCGCGATCGAACGAACGGTCACCTGTGAGCTTTACCCTAAGCCCCCAGGTACTATATAGGGTACTAGAGCCCCTAGGGGCCTTATATAGTAGGCACCTGGAGGGTTAGGGTTTAGCTACTAAGACTAAGACTTGTTGTCCGATGATCCAGGCGTCCAGGCTGATTCAAGATCACTGACCCGACACCACAGCGGGAAATTTTGACAAGGATGCGTTCTGACTAGTCTAGGAGGGGTCAGTGGGAAAAACCAGACAAACCTTAATGCCGCAGATTGCTACCTGGGCCGATCCACGAAAAAGCAAGCACAACACAGCCAGGCTGCTGGGATGCCATCTTCAACTTGCGGCACTTCAGTAGCCGTACATGAGGCCGCCGCGGGTGCAGGATAGATGCCGTTGCGAATCACTCGAACCGCGTGCCTTGCGGGAGAGTTCAAGCTCGATCAGGTTTTTGGGCCTTTGGGCTGGGCCGAGTAGCTGCTCACATGCACGAGCTGAAGGACCGTCTAAGACCTCGCCTTGCAATCTTCGGGCAAATCGCCAGGAATTCTTCACTCCCGCCAGATGCGAAGGCCGCGAAGGCCTCGAAGATGCAGCTTGTGGCGGCATCTGTCGCCCCGTCCTGGTGTCGTTTTGTGCCGTTCGACGTAAAAGCCGAACTTCTGTCACAGCATTTCTCTCGTGACGCGCGGTGACGGCAGGGATAGCAATGTCGTCGCGGCGAACGTTTTGCAACGGTGGTACAAGTTAAATGCAGGTGCCAATCATGGTGAACAGCTGATGACAGTGGTGGTGGCACTGGTGTTTACGGTCATGCCGAGTCGACAATGAAGGCGGTGGTAATGACGGGATGACGGCGATGACATTGATTCTACGATTCTAATAACCCTCTACGAGGCCCCAATTTGGACTCCCCGGTGCAGAGAAGAGTCGAGCTGGGCGTTCAGCTCGGCCAAGAGTCCCCCATCTGCCCCAGCGGTTTTGAGCCGCTTACTGGCCCGCAGCTCCAACCTGGGCTGGACGTGACCGTCAGGAACCGACATGCCTATGCCCTACGCCACTGCTGTTGTAGCTCTACAGTAGCCTTGCCGACGTCGGGAGACATTGTGGTGACAGAGTCGCAAAGGGCAGGGAGGGCGCCACCGCCTGCACCAGCAGCACTGTGGAGGCCCTTCTGCATCTCCTCTGCCGTCTCAACTAGAGAATGGGCTTGGGGCTGAATGCAATATGGCTTAAGTGAGGTCTCCAAGCTGTCCAGGATTTTGGAGAAGCGAAACGAAAGGCAGCATAACCGCAATCACACCAAAATCCTACCTGAAAAGCTTATGCCAACAATCCTAAAGGCAGCGCCTAGAACCATACAGCAACACATCGGCACATATGGCCAGTTCTCTAAATGAGGGTCCCTTTCAGGGCCCTTTATATAAGGGTGCCGTACGATATTGGGGACTTAAAAAGGGGACCCTAATTTCGAGAACTACCCATATGATCCTTTTGCAAGAAGAGCTCAGAACTGGGCCCAAAACTCGTCTCCTCCAGGATCCACTCCTCATGCTGTCGCAGCTGCTCCGAGTTCTTCTCCAGGAGCTCACAGACACCCGTCGCAGCTGCCGACTTCACCTGTGATGGGAGAGAGCCTGCGGTCCGGTTTGGGCCTTAAAAAACCCCTCGGAGAGCTCCCTCGGAGCCTTTATACCCGACTCTACCCCCCTGTCGGAGCCTTGCCGTTCGGGTCTTTGAGCCGGCTGAAGAAGACCTGTCGCATCTGGTCCAGAAGTTCCTGGCCCAGGCGTTCAGCTCCGCTGAGGGCTCAGCCCCCCATTTTTCGACCTAGCCCTGATGTTGAACGTCGTTCCTCCTGAATCCCTGCAAGGATGTTTGGGGTCAGCAGCCTTTGCGCTCCCACGTGCAAACCATGGATGCCATGAAGGCCAAGTTACGTAGGTTCAGATGTGTTTGCAACTAGGTGCAAGAGGAACTGTTCACGGCTGCACATGCACCGCTTCGGTTTTCGAACAAATGTGGTGAGTATAGGGGGACTGAAGAGCCAGCCCCAGGCGCACTGCCGAATTTTACAAGCCGAAATGCTGTGGAGCACCCGTCCTCGCTCTCCAGAACCGCTTCCTTGTGGTCCACCAACAGCGGTACAAATCGAGATGCAGCCCAAAGCGCTGTACAGCGGAGAAGGCCTGCGCACCCGAGGGCCATGTTGGGCTCACCGTGGCTTCGGAGGACCATCGTCGGTTGTTGATGGTTTTGCTGAGTGGGCTTCTGACAGCTGCATAGCGGGGTGTCCTTAAAGAATCGGGGTCCTGCAATGAATCGCGAAGAACCCACTTTTTCCCGTTTTCTTAGCCCTGAAGCTGCATGTTAGCACTTGGGATTCAGGTTGTTACAGAAGGTTGCTGTGAAATGCAACATAAGGCTCTTATCCGAACTTTGTGGCCTCGGCAGCATAGTAAGCGAAGGCAGTACTGTGAACTGCCCACGATGCTTTCAGGGGCTGGTCGGAAGCATCCTCAATCCTCCGCCCACCCTGTGCTTTGGACTGAGGCAGTTGCCCTGTGGTGCATCGCAGGCGGATAGGAGAGCTTTGATATCCACCACCAGCCTTGGGGTCCAGAAGGATGTACCGACTGCCGTGGCTTACCACTGGCTTTGATGTTACTGAAATACACCGACTGATACGAAGACAACACGAGGTTGCGGTAGGAGCTAGCCCGCAAACAGTATGCGATTTTCGTTTGATGAGGAAACTTCTTTGGTACTTTGGTGCAAGAACTTCTTCGAAGACATCCGCAGCATTGCTTTACTTTACAACCTACATCAACGACACAAGCAAAGAGGTGCTGTCGTGCCGCAACAAGGCCACAACACTGAACACAACGCCAACATTCGCAATGCAACCCGACATGGCAGCAATACAAGTCCCAGCATGTCCCTGCGTTTTCCGCTAACATGGCGCATAGTTGTTGCGATTCTCTCACTATGGCTCGCACCAGATCGGTTACCAGACCAGCACCCGAGCCGCCATTCTCCTAAGGACCTGACTTGATGCCGCACAAAATAGTGCTGCATGTCGCCACTGGAAAAGGACGTGAGCACCGACATTGCAATGCGTTGATGTAAGCTCATCGTTTCTGGGAAACATGCTGCCCTAACCCTCCAGGTACCTACTATATAGGGCCTTAGGGGCTCTAGTACCCTATATAGTAGGTACCTGGAGGGTTAGGGCTGTTTCATTCAAACTCACACGCATGTCCGCTACTTCCAAGGCTCGCACGACGACGAAGAGCGAATAGCAGAGAAGCACTCGATCAGCAGACAATTGAGAAGAGTCGGGTTCATTTTTAGGGAATATAAAGGGATGACCGGTCTTTGGATCTGAAGCAGTTGGTTCAGAGGGCGCAGATATATAGTGCTAGTATGTGGCATCACATGCAGAAGCTAAGCTTCTGAGCAGATCTGCTTCTTATCTGGAAGGTTTGGAGAGCATGGCTTGGAGTCATGGGACCTATGATGCTAATGCCCCGGATGTCATGCAGAAAACGTACTTCCTCGTGCACTTCATGCAGCCGAGAAGCAGAGAGTTCAATTTGATCGCCTTGGCAAGGTACGACGACATGCATGATTGTTCACATCTCGCTTGCAGCTGGCGCAGAAAGCAATAGGCTAGGGAAGAGAAACGATGTGCCACTGGTAGTAAGCTTCCGGAGCATGGAGTACTCTGCATCCAACTTACTGTGTAAGCCCCCTCGCGGTAATTTAGAGAACTGCCCGTGTGAGACGGACTCCTGGCATAACTTCTCTTCGAAGTCGCACCGGCCACTGCACCAAGGGCCAGCACTGCAAGCTCACGGAGCTCCCAAGCCTCCTGTGCAGATGCAAGGCACCAGATCTGCAAATGGAGCCTCTAGAGCTAAAGGGCCACCACAAGCCACAGGCCAGCTGGCTTTAGCTTTTCTAAACCCTAAACCCTACACCCGAAACCTATTCTGCCCATAGCCATTCTTTGTGTATCTCTACTGACCGGGAGCCCCTGCTGGCCTCGGCCAGAATCGACCGGATCATGGGCAGCACTCGCATGAGAAGGGGCTCCTGCTGCATTGCACCATATCACTAGCGGTTTTCTAGGCAGCATGTTACGATGGTTTTCGCTACCATCTCGTGTCTATGGCCTCTGTACCTCAACACCAAAACAGAAAAGCATCTGCAAAACAGACCGCACTCTCTGTGACTCCTCCAGAGTAAGGGAGAGCTTATCCAGTGCGGCTGCAGCTCCTCTTGATCGAGGTTGTGGAGTCAGCAGGGGAAAGCTAGCAGTTAAAGTAAAGGTCGATTTCGATCTGTACCAAAGATTAGTGATAGCGCTTCGGGTGGTCGTTTCCTCGACATTTTGTGGACATCCTTGTAGCACTGTCGCGCAGCTGCACACGATGCAGGACCAGACAGCGTACAGTACACAACCCTTTTCCCCCCCTCCCCCCTCCGCACACAGTCACCAAGTTTCGGCCGGTACTCGAAAACTGCTGCCAGCTTGCTGCCATGGCGACTTCAACTCGAGCTAATTGCAAAGTGAAAATGCGTAGTTCCGGAGATCAGAGAGATCGCACAGCAACTGCACACGGGCTGTGCTCTCTGATGCAACAGGTGCGGAACAAAGCACAACGAACGAACAGCAAGGCTGAATGGTGAAGCCGGATGTGGCACTTCCCTGCCTTTTTCATTCGTGTATGCACTGTGTGCGTGAAACCTGCGCTTGTGCGCCTGCAAGCTTGTGTGTGCGAGAGAGAGAGAGAGA